TAAATTTTTAATTTCTTTCCCTTGTTTCTCACAATTTTGTTCAAATAAGTCCTTTGTCTTTTTGGTTATTGTTATACCCAGGTATCTTTATTCACTACTTTATAAACTGTCTTAATTTCTAATTCTTTCTCTTCTTTTCCTGTCATATTTTTATCCGTGTATTAGTTTTTCCTTCATTTATAATTAAACTTGCTCGTTATCCAAAGTCGCTGATTATTACTTTAAGGTTCATAATACTACATGATGGTTCTTCCAGAAAGATTACCATGTCATCCGTGAAGGCTGTTACTTTAAAGCATTTCTTCTCAATTTTTAAACCTTTAATTTGTTCCTCTTTTCTTACTTTCCTTAGTAGTACCTCCAATGTTGTTATGAACAACAGGGGTGAGAGTGGACATCCTTGGCATGTTCCATTAGAAATCTGACATTGATTAGTTTTCTCCCCACTTACTATTATTCTTGCATTTTGCTTGCTATATATGCTTTTTATCCATTTAAAAATTATCTCCTACTTGTATTGTGTCTAGAACTTCAAACATAATTTCCCAATTAATATTATCAAATGCTCTTTCCGCATCTAGAAAAAACATTCCTAATTTCTTCTCTGTATGTTGTTCATAGAATTCCAACACGTCTATTACCAATCTTACATTTTGTTTCATATGTCTTTGTGATAAGAATCCTGTTTGATCTTCCCCAATCCATTCCTTTAATACTCTCTTGAATCTCTTTGCTAATATTTGAGCAAATATTTTGTTATCTGCATTTAACTGTGATATAGGTCTATAATTTTTTGTATCTTTTGGATCTCTATTTTCTTTGGGGATAACTATGATGTTAGCTTCTCTCCATGTTTCTGGGTATCCTTCCAATAACATCTGATTTATTGTTTCTTTTAAGGGAGACATCAGTTCCTCTGATAATTTTTTATAATATAGTGTGGAAAAGCCATCTGGGCCTGGTGTTGTTCCCTGTTGTAGCTTTTTTTAAATTGCCTCTTGTACTTCCATTGTCAATATTGGTGCATTTAATCTAATTCTCCGGTCATCATTTAGTTTAGGTAGGTCTTGACTTTTCAAGTATATTTGGTTATATTCTTTTTTCCTTAAATCATTTCTTTAGAAAGTTCCTCACAGTATTTTTCAAATGTATCTCTTATAATCTTTGGGTTGGAAAATATTTCCTCTCCCGTTCTGATTTCTCTTACTATATTTTGTTCTCTTTTCTCCAAACTTGGTAAGCTAACCATTTACTTGGTTTATTTCCTTGTTCATAGAATTTTTGTTTAGTAAAGTTTATTTTTTTCTCTATCTCTCCTAGCATGAGGTCCGACAACTGATTCTATAGGTTTTTTTAAATCTCTTTTAAAATTTCTTTTTTCATGGAATTTTTAGTAATCTCTAGTTTTTCTAATTTTTTTCTAAAAGTTTTTCTTGCCTTTGTTTTCTCTTTTAATTACTCCCCAGTTTTTTTTCATTATTAATCCATGTAGGACTGATTTTTGTGCCTCCCAAACTGTTTTTATTTTTGCCTCCTTGTTCATATTTTGTTTAAAGTATTCCTTCAGTTTGATCCTCAACCATTCTAAAATTCTCTTTTAGTAAGTTTTCATTCAATCTCCATAAGTACTCTTTCCTTTTTCATAACGGATCTTATAGGATTATGATCTTTGCATGGTTTTGGTAGGATTTCTATTTCTTGGATCCAATTAAGAAAAGTTTTATTTGTTAGAATCAGATCAATTCTTGATAATGATTTATGTCTACCTGAATAAAAAGTGTATTCTCAGGTATCTCCATGTTTTATTCTTCAAATATCCTCTAATGTGAAAACATCCAACATGTCAAAAAAACTTTTTAGTAGTTTCCCCTGATTCTTTTATTTTATTTTCTGATTTCCAATCAGCTTTAGGATTTATTACTCCATTCATATCCCCTGCTATAATCAATTCATCTCTTTCTAATTCTAGTAATTTTCCTGCTCATTTAATATTTCTTTTCATAGAAAGTGTTCTGGCACATAGATAGCTACCCCCTCCTCTCTCTCTCTCTGTCTCTTTTGAGAATGCATAGCATTTCCCTATTTTCCCATTATTTAGATATTTTACATCACCCATTACAATATGGGTTTCTTGTAAGCAGATTATTTGGTTTCTTTCGGTTCCCAAGAAATGGAACACTTGTGGAGTTCAGTCCCTGGACATTCCAAGTCAAATTTTATTTGCTATTTTAGTTGTCTACTTTCTTTGCTTTTAAATCTCTTTTTCTCCTTCCTCTTCTTCCTTTCCTGATTCCTCTGAGTCTATTCCTTCCTCTTGTTCTGTTGCCCCTAAATTTGTGAAGTCTCTTTTTTCTACTTCTGATCCTGCTTCTTTAAGCTCTTGTGACTCTAGAAACTTTCATTTGTCTTTCTTCCTATTTCCCCCTTCTTGCTCTTCTTCTGTCTTATCCAAATCTGTCCCATATTTCCTCAAAAATTCCTCTGCCTTTAGAGTGGAATTAATTCTAAGCCATTTTCCTCTGAACTGCAGTGATAGTCCCTCAAACATTTCCCATTTATACTTTGTTTTATTCTTTTGTAATATTTTTGTTAAAAAATAGTAATCTCTTCTTGCTTTTAATACTTGAGATAGAATATCCTTAGATATTTTCACTTCATTTCCTCCTATTTCTAGTTTTCTAATATAATCTTCCTGTAAGATTTTATTTTTAGTGTACTCTCCTGTAAAATGTAACTACAATATCCTTGGTAGATTCTTTTTTGTCGCCACTACTGAGTCTATTCTAAAAAAATTATCTATTTCCAAAGGTTGATTCCAGTTTAAAGAATGATGGTCTAATAGGCTTATACCTGTTTTCCAGCTTGTTTCAAGAGCTTTCTGAATCTTTCATCCTCTAACACACATGAAGGAAGTTCTGTTTCCCTTCTTGCCTTCATCTCCTCTAGCCTTTGTTTAAGATTGCGGAGTGCCTGCAGTTCATCATTCAGGCGACTCTGTCGGGTCCGAGATGCCTGGAGATCCAGCTCCAAGTCAAGAGATGTGCGTACAGGGTGCTCTTGTGTTGCTCTTCGCATACCAATCTGGCAAGCAGGCTAGTTTTCAGGAATTCAGAAAATAAGAATATAAAATACTACAGTCTGTGTATGGAACATTACAGAATTATGTTACATAAAGCATCTGCAGCTTTTTAAAAATACACTGTGTATATCTATTGGCCTAAATACAATAGTCAGTTCCCAGCTAGACTCGACTCATTGAATCAATGGAATTTTGATAAGTCCAACATTTAATTCCCACTAATTTAATGGGCTATTCTAACTGCCACTGATTCAATTGCCAATATGTTGTTGCTTAGCATAATAAACTGCACTAGGAGAGGCCCACCAAATCAATGAGGATTTGGTAAATCAACTGTTCCCTATATTTCATTGATTCAAACAGGCCCACTCTAACTGTGGTTTACTTTTATATAATAAGTCTCAGTAAGATTAGGCCCATTTGACTCAATAAAACTTACCAAGGACATGACTCATGAAATCCCATTTGATTTAATAGGTGTACTCTAGTGCAATTTACTATGCTAAGCAACAGAATTTTGGCCAAAGTAGTCCAATATATTTACATATATAGTTATGATCAGATTAAATATAGGACTCCTGTATCTTCAGGATCAGTATCCACAATCTGAAAATATTAAAAGAAAAAAAATCCAACCCCCCATTTTCACACGTATTACTAGAACTGGCCACTAGGGGGGAGCCAGAGACTGTGCTATAAATACTTGCTAGTGAAGAATACATAGTATGGTCTCTGGCATGCTCGAGTGGCCATTTCCGATAATGCATGTATACAAGAGACTGGTGAAATGTCAGGAAGAACAACCTTCAGAACACAGCCAGAGCCCGAAAAACCCACTACAACCATGTGAAAATAATTTTTTCTAGTTTTTCCTTTTACCACAGTATAGTGTACGTAGCATGATTGAACGAAAAAGTCAATCCCCAGTGGATATGGGGGTCCGACTGATAGCATGGTAGAACGAAAAAGTCAATCTCCAGTGGATATGGGGGTCCGACTGTATTGTAAGACTACTACTATACTGTGCCATTCTTTCTGGAATTAGACTCTTCTAAAGCTTCACAAGGTAAACAGAAATCAGCACCTGGAACCGTACTGGTGTTCATGTTACAATGTACACAACATACGATGACTAATTTGCATGTTACATTAGGGTGCATCACAATTGTGCAAGTGCATGTTGACAAGGCACACAACTAAGATGTGTCCTCCCACCCCAACCACCAGCCACAAGTGCTGCAGCACATTATGCAGATCCCAAGCAATCACTAACAAGATTCTGGCCAACGCGTGTGTTGTAGACAAATGTCATTACACTTTACGATCAAATCTGACAATATTCCTACTACAGATATAGGGCACAAATACAACTTTTCTCATTGTCTATTCCAGAAAACACATGCTGTGAATATTAATTATGTATATACCTGACACCTAGACACACTTGCCTCATATTTTACAGGGACCTTTCATTTTTGAGGAATGCAAGATCTAAGGTAAACAATATCAGACTTCTAATGAGATGCAAGGCAAAGCTCGACCTTTGGATGCTCACCAGTCTTAGACTGTGATTAGTTTAACATGAAAAAAGGGCCAGGTTCTCTTGTGGTATGCAAAGGAGAGGGAAAAGTAGAATGTGCTGGCCAGAAGTTTGCTTTTTCTGATAGCAGGAAATCATAGTTTTCAGTTAGACTGGAACTAAACCTTAGGCCACAAAAAACAAACAGTAAACACCCTATTTTTTTTCAAGAATTGTGAAAAATTTCTTTTGCATGTAAAACACACAAACAGGACCTGCTTTTAAAGCAGTTGTAATGGATACCTAATTTCCATTCTTAGAAATACCACATAGGCAATAATATGGAGCTTATATTCCTTTTGATACAAAAACTACATTTAGAAGTCTAGCATCTCAAAGAGAATGTTTCAGGGAGAAGTATATTTCTGAATGTTCAGTTTGTTTCAAATTTTTATCTGCCAAAGAATAACAGAAAAATGAAAGTGAGCAAATGATCACACAGTACATACCCTTTTAACTCTCAAGCTTCGCCGTTCTGTGGCATTTCTCACAAACAGAGACTTTTTGGCCAGTGTTGAGCTGTCACTATCACTTCGATTCAACTGTCAGAACAAGGAACACAAAAGATTTATAATTTAAAGTGGATGGATGTGAAATAGAGGAGCTCCTAATATTAAAACTACTAAATGTACTACTGAAAATGGTTTATACTCTTGCAAAAGTGCCATTAATCCAGGCAAAATTGTTACAATATCATGAAACAATAATCCATAACCTATACAGGAAAAAAACCACTGGGACTACATGATGTTAATGGTTTGTATGCAGAAGCCATCACTGTGTGCCTCTCTGACTATTCATTTCAAAGCATAAGCTTCCATTGACTTGCTTAAGACAAGCTCGTGTCTGAACAAAGGGAGCTCTGGTTCTATCAGTGGTTCACAAAGTACCTGTTCCTGAACTGAATTATTCTAAGACACACAGGCGCTGCCCTTCTGTAGCCTTTTCAGGTTATATTATAACCAAACTACAGAGCTAGGACAACAATTTGTAAAAGAAAAATATACACTCGGCGAAGAAACAACTTTAAAAAAAACAGTAGAAAAGCTTACAAAGGTACACCAACTCCTTTCTCTGCACCAATATGGGTCTTTTACTCAATGAATTATTGAGTAAATCAAATGCTGGGATAACATTACTGTATTTTTTGCTCCATAAGACGCACTACCCTTCCCAAATAGTGGGGGAGAAAGTATGTGCGTCTTATGGAATGAATACAGTAAAAAAGGGGTTCAACCACCACCACCCAGAAGCCCCCCACTGCCATGCTGGGAGGCCTCTGAAATAGCACCAGATACTGCTTGCTGTTTGGACTTCACCATTCTGCACTGCTGGCTTTCTAGGATCTGCTTCCTGGAGCCCACCTGGAAAACCAGCAAGGCCAACAGGCCTATGGTAGTAGGCAGTGAAAACAGCCAAGGACAAAAGGGGAAAGAGTAATTCTAGAAAAAC